CAAGTTCGCCAAATTATTCTTCTGCGTACTAAAATTTAAGAATATACCTAAACTACTTTTGTATCACCATTTGCCTAGCACAGCGCTAAACACATAGAAGGTACTGGACAAATACTTGCTGAGAGAATTAAGAATAAAGGCTGAGAGCAGCCACCTTCTGGCCTCGTGTCCCCCCACGCCAGTCCCGTCATGTTGCATTAATGCATCAGCCCCGCAGTCCCTGATATGCTCTCGTGGCATCTCTCCCCTGCCTCTCTCAGCTACGGCTTTGCTAGGCTCCCAAGCCCCCCAAATTTAATTCCTATGTCACCTCGGCCACCACAGACCTCTTAGGAAGGTTCAATTCACGACGAAGGAGGGATGAGGTCATGCGAGTTCAGAATCTCCCCTTCCAGAATCTTGCCCACTAATCCGGGATGGGCTGAGCGCCGCCCCAGGCCAGCCATCTCGCTCGGCACGAGGATTAAGAGGAACAAGTCTGGGGAGGGATGCTTCTGAAGTGGCCCCAGAAGCCACCAAGAGGATCCTGGCAGTGCTGGGGCTGGCAGGGTCCGCTGCAAACAGCATGAGGCCAGCCCTGGGGTTGGCTTTTCACCCACCTGCCAGAAGGTTTGTATCCAGGCTTTGAGTTCATTTTTACAAAATCGCACTCAGTGGTCAGGCTTCTCTTTAGCGCCATAGGTTTGTATTTCAGTCTCCTGAAATGCTTTAAAAATACGAACTTTCAGATAGATTATCAACCACATTTCGTCCCATGATTAAAATGAAAACCGGCCCGTGCCCCCTCTGTTTTGGCATGGCAGCCCTCGGAGGAGAGCAGTCTAATGGCTCAGACCGAGTTTGTGGTTAGAGTGTTTATGTAACAAATCAGCTCAACTTAAATATTTCTCATGGTGCGGTCAGGGCCGCAAGCCTCGCCCGGCACACCAGCATGGATGTCATCCGTTTACTCGGCCCTGTGCGGGCATCGTGTTTACGTGAGAGGACCCTGATCGCTTAAAGCCAGCTAATATTTTCAATCAGACATCATGTTGCTTGCGCATTTTACAATAAGGATCGTGGAGAGACAGTTTTCCAAAACAATGAGATAGGTTACATTTGTGTATGTGCTCATGAGCAGACACATTTAATGAATGTTCATTTGGCAAAGCCTTACAATTAAGGAATTTTTCTTCCGCAGATAATTGCGTGAGCCCTGATAATTCTCCTCTAAGTCCGCCTGCTGGTTACCTCCCCCCTCGACGGAGACGACGTGTACCAGACAAACAGCAGAGACAGACAGCCCGAAAGCCCTGCGGAGGCTCTCCTGGGTTCAGAACAAGCCAACTAGAGGAGAACTAATGCTTTCCAACGTCTTCATGCAGTTGGAAGCCAAAGGATTTTTTTCAGGGGCCAGGGGAAAAGAAATGCTGAGTAACCCTCCTGCTCCTCCCGAGGCGTTTTAGATTGCAGCTTCATTTCTTAGTTTGAAATGTAAATTACCAGAAATGTCAGACACGAACTCAAATGTGAGTGCAGAAATGCATTCCAAAGCCAAACGTAAATTATTTTTAAATTATTCATGCCACCTAGCTCGCCATTAGAACAATTAATTGTACTAACCGTAAATACGCATAAACAGAAGTGACAGAAACAGAAACATTCACAACATGCACGGCAAACCAGATGGACAGAAAGATCCACTTAAGCACTAAATGATTAGCTCGGAGGGAAGCCAAGGAAGGGGTCTGGGTGGGGCAGCTCTGGAGGGATGAGCAAGTTGGGGCTATTCTGGAAACAGCCGGAGATGGAAGCTGGTTTGGAGGGTGGGGGGTGGGATCTGAAGAGAAGTGGGGAGGGCGAGGGCTGGGGAGCAAAGCTTGTGCAGGGAAAGACCAGTCCGGGGTGGGTTCTGGTTTCTGACAACTCTGAACTCATCGAGGCAGAGGTGACAGAGCCATGGCCCACATGAAAAAAAGGAAGCTCACAATATATGAGATGGTCGGGGTCGGGGTCTGCCTGGAACTGTGAGAAGAATCTAATAGTACAGAGAAGTATCTAATAGCATCACATCTGCAGCGTTCCGCCCCAGGACCAGCCCCACGTGCCCCTCTGCAGAGAGAGCAAGGGGTAAAAGTGTTCTTAGGGAGTGGCAATTTGGGAGCAAAAATATGCTAACTGGCAAATGGTTTGGAAGTCTCCTATTTTAAAAAAATAGGGACCAGGCGTGGTGGTTCACACCGATAATCCCGGCACTTTGGGAGGCCGAGGAAGGAGGATCACTTGAGGCCAGGAGTTCAAGACCAGCTTGGTCAACATAGTGAGACCCCCTTCTATACACACACACCAAAAAAACTTTAACAAAATTAGGAGTTCAAAGCAGCTACTTCGAACACAAGAAGTTTTGAGGGTAAAAGAATGCGGTGTCCCCTCAGTCCCCTCCCCAGCCCCACTCGCCACCACGGTGTATTCCCGTTCAAACACAAGAAGGACATCAACACAAAGGAAGTCCGCACAAACCCTAATGCACCCACGGCCAGCTCGAGAGTGAAAGTCCCAAATTGGCTGGCGACAGTGATCATTCCTAAAGGACAAATTAATCATGAAAAGTTTGGCTCTTAGCAGAAATTTGAACAGGTGTCCCTCATCTGTGCAGACGCCTGACGGTGGCTGGCAGGTCGTGTTCCAAGCCCTCATCAGCTGCCTGGTGAGGGCTCCCAGTGCAAACCAGAGTCCCAGGGACGCCGTCTAAGCAAGGGCTCATGGCGACGGGGTAGCGATGAGAACAAGAAATGAAGCCGGCCAAGACGGGCCTCTGTTTGAGTAACATCTGATTATCACGGTTAACATGTACTGAAAGATTAATATCTGCCAGAACCTACCCCAAACATTTTGCACAGATTATTTTATTTAATCCTGCAACCACCTTAGGAAGTTAGGTACATAGTTTTTAAAAAAATGTTTCCCTTTGTATAGTTAAGGACACTGAGGCTGAGGGAGGTCAGGGGGCATGCTCAAGGTGCCACAGCCAGCAAGCGACAGCTGGGACTCTTAGCCTGGCCTGCCTGACCCCGTGCACAGACCCACTGAGGGCGTCTCCCTGAATCCAACGGGGGTCGCCCAAATCGAGATGAGCCTGTGTTGGGAAGGAATGAAAGCTTCCAGAGGCTCCCAAGGGTCCTTGGACTGGGGCCAACCCAGCTGTATGGAGACAGTCCGAAAGCTCAGAGAACGAGGCCTATTCTGTGATACAGGATTTGGAAAGTGGGGTTTAAAAAACTTGGAGCATGCAGTAGAGTGGCCCCCAGGCCACCTGGTCCCCACGCAGCCAAGTGACGAAGACAAGACTGACCAGGACAGACTGCCCATAACCACCAGATTGTGCCCAGCACAGTAAGAAGAGAGACTGGAGGTTGAGGGTGGTGGTGGACAGAGGACGATTGCTCACCACGGGTTCAGTAAATCATCACCTTCCCAACTCTGCCCTTAACCAGCTGTGTGACACTGAGCAAGATACTTAACCTCTCTGAGCCTTATTTGCCTCATCTGTTCAATGGGGACAAGAATAGCACCAGCCCCGCAGGGTTATTATGAAGGAATTACTTGGTTAAAACTCATAACGTGCTCATACTGGGCTTGGCTCATGGTGCTCATTGAGCATTATAATTATTTTTATTAGCATTGTCATTATCACGAATAGTAGTAGTATTTCTATTGCTGCTTAGTAGCCTATAGTAGCTGCTCAAGAATTGTTTCATTGAATGAGTGAATTCACCAATTGATTATCAACATGCAGACTGCAGTTGCCCAAGGTGGCAGCAGGAAAGAGGACAGAGGGAACCTCTGAGCCTGGTGTCGCTGAGAAAGTGAAGTCTTGTCCTGGAGGTGAAGGCAAGTAGAAGGATGGACACGGTCGCTTCACGTTTGCTGAAGCACGTCCCGGGTTCAACAGTAGTGTAGGGCTGGTCATTTATAAAGTTAAAGGAATAAGACTTTCTACTTAAAGACTTACTCCATCTTCTCGAATGCAAGTTGAGACTTGCTAAGCCTGAGGGGCAGAATCCAGCCAGCGGTGGTGTCTTCATAGTCTGGGAGAAAGGAGTTGGAAGGAGAAACTAGAACCCAGAAAGCTCTGGAAAGTTCCTGCCTGTTCTGGGGCCCCCACCAGAGGTTGCCAGGAGCTATGAGTGCAGGTGTGGCCCAGGCCTCCATGGGAAGGGAACCCCATAGGTGGAGCTGACAGCAGAGGGAAAGGCCACAGTGACTCCCACTGAGTTCCCACCTCTCAGACTCCAAGGCCAGCCCAGCGGGAACTGGTGGCCATAGCGCCCTCCCCGAGGCAGCCAACTCTAGACAATCTCCTCCTCCTTCTCCACCCATGGCACTCTTAGAAAAGAGCTGGGGAGAAAACTCATCCTTGCAATGCTTTATTAATAAATTGAATTCTAGCCAGGCACCATGGCCCATGCCCGTAATTCCCAGCACTTTGAGAAGCCGAAGTTGGAGGATCACTTGAGCCCATGAGTTTGAGACCAGCCTGGGCAACATAGCAAGACCAGATCTCTGCAAAACAAAAAATTTTTTTAATTAGGCAGGTGCAGTGATGCATGCCTGTAGTCCTAGCTACTGGGGACACTGAGGCAGGTGGATCCCTAGAGCCCAGGAGTTGGAGGCTACAGTGAGCTATGACAGTGCCTGTGTAATAGCCACTGCATCCAGCCTGAGCAACAGAGCAAGATCCGGTCTCCAAAAAATAAAAATTAAAAAATAATAATAAAATAGAAAAAGTATATCATTGCCATTCTCAATCACAAATGGAATTATTCATTTAGTTTTTAATCATAGCAATGAAATTTACTCTATCCAATTGTAGCTTATCTCTTTTTTTTCCTTTTCCTTTTTTTTTTTTTAACTCTACATTTTTCTTTTCTTTTTTCTAGAGAAGGGTCCTGCCTGGGTCACCCAAGCTGGAGTGCAGCAGCATGATCATAGCTCACTGAAGCCTCAGACTCCTGGGCCCAAGCGATCCTCCTGCCTCAGCCTCCTAAGTAGCTGGGACCACAGGTACATGCCACTTCACCCAGCTAATGGTTTTCTTTTTTGTGGAGATGGGGTCTCACTATGTTGGCCAGGCTGGTCTTGAGTTCCTGACCCCAAGCGATCTTCCTACTTTGGCTTCCCAAAGATCAGGGATTATAGGCTTGAGCCACTATACCCAACCCTTATCTCCTTTATTTAAATCTATTATTTCCATAGCAAAAGAAAATTCCTCAAATAGTTAAATATAGAATTACCATATGACCCAGCAATTTCACTGCTAGGTATATACACAAAGAATTGAAAATAGGGACTCAACTAGATTCTTGTACACTCAATATTCATAGCAATACTATTCACAATAGCCACAAGGTGGAAACAACCCAAGTGTCCATCAACAGATAAATGGATAAACAAAATGTGGTATATAGAGAAAATAGATAAAATTCTGACACCTGCTACAATACGGATTGACCTTGAAAACATTATGCTCAGTGAAATAAGCCAGATACAATAGAACAAATACTGTATGAGTCCACTTACATGAAACATCTATAAGTTAGGCAAATTATAATACAGACAAAAAGTAGACTGGAGGTTACCAGGGGCTGGGAGGAGAGGGGAAAAGGTCCTTGTTACTTGAAGGGTACCAAGTTTCTGGTTGGGGAGTTGAAAAATTTGGAATTAGATAGTGGTGATGGTTGCACAACATGGTGAACGTATTTAAAGACATTGGATTGTACATTTAAAATGGTTAAAACAGTAGATTTTATGTTATGTATATTTTTGCACAGAAAATTTGAAAAAAATTCAGGTTTTCTGTTAGTATTTCAATCTTTGCTACTAGGACAATTATTATTCTTATTGGCTTGTGTTTAAAGGCATTGTAATGACATTTATTTCCAACGTACTACTACAATTTTGAATGACTTTTGAACTTAGCTGACGTGACCAATATGGTGGCAGCCTGGCTAGGACTGCCCTTCCTGGGGACGGTGGCTGCAGGACGAGGGCAGAGCCAGGGCAGCATGGAGTCTGTCCAGCTCTCTGCTTCCTGCCTCTGCAGCCTCCAGTAAGTCACTTACCCTTACAATGCCCCGGTTTCCACTTCATATAATAATAATTGTTTCTTAGTGTTGTCATAAAGATAAAATGTGTTACAAGTGTAATGTGCTTAATATAGTGCCTCGCACATGGTAAATGCTCATAGTTAAGCTATTAATCCTATTAATATTATCATAACAGAATTCGGGTTTTTAAATAGGTGGTTGAGATTTAACAGGGAAAAATAATTAAGAAGCACTAACAATTCCAAAGGAAGGAATTGTAAAGAATGGCTCAAAAGCCTACCAGGAAACTCAGTCCTTGGAACTGAGAAAGGGCATGAAGCCTTCCTGAACATTCCCTGGTGGTGAGGCTGAGCTTGCTGGTGGCTCCTTGGGGAAGAAGGACAAAACATCGGTCCCCAGCAGCTGCCAATTGCAGCTATGGGCAAATGGACCCAGTGTCTCCCTCATCATCACAGTTCTTCTGGCTCTTACCATTGGCACTTTGTCAGTTTCTCCTCCTGGGAGACATCCCCATGCGAGTTTGGACGCATTAACCTCCCATTTTCCTCAGCCCTCTCACCCATCCCGCCCCAGACCCCAGTGACATTTGGAAAGGCGTTTGAAACAGCTGGTCTGTGTCACCGCCCTGCTCTGAAGGTGTCAGGTCTGATAGGGAACCATCCAGCAAGAGAAAAGCATATTTGGGCCCAGAAAGAGTTTCTCTCGCACAAACAGACCTCGCAGCCTGTGCGGCTCTTGTTTCGTGGGAGCTCAGCCAGTGGCAAGAGCTTTCGAGGTGCAGAGATTTAGCTTTAACTAGCTAGCTTGGCTGTCACTTGTCCTGACAGCTTCCCGGGTATGAGTTGCAGTTACCAGTTTGAGGCTATTTTGCTTCTCTACGTATCATATAGGATTCGGCCCGCTTTTATGAAGACAGAGTACAGTTCTCACTTCCCTTGATCACTACGTTGGTGTCAGCGTCGAACACTCGGTACAAGGCACCACAGTGACCAAAGCATCCTGGAAAGACGAGGTAGGGTGGGGAGGAGGGGGAGTGAGGAGCCAGGTATCCTAGATGGCGTGAGTCTCCCCTCCAGCCCGGCCCAGGGCAGAGCAAGAGCCCATCCAGGGGTGGAGAGTAGAAAATCAAAAGTTCCCTGTGGTACAAAAATAAACAAATAATTTCTAAGTAAAAGTGATCAACACTGATGTAATCTACCTAATAGTTGAAGATGAAGAAGAAAACTTGTGAGATTTTTTTTCTATTATATTTTTATTTTCAATGAAGTAGTATTTTAAGGCAAAGATAAAAGATTTTAAGTCATAACTATATGCTGGGGGCCTGGACATTTATTTTCCCAACTCAAAATATTTTAATTGTAGTTTAAAAGTCCACTAATTGTTATTTCATGGTACAGAGTTTCAATTTGGAAAGATGGGGAAAGTTCTGGAGCTGGATGGTGGTCATGGTTGCATAGCAATGTCAGTGGACTTAATGCCACTGAATTGTGAACTGAAAAATTATTAAAACGGTAAATTTTATGTTGTATATATTTTGCCAAATTAAAAAAATGCTTCAAGGACTTTGATTATCAGACGCCTACAGATCTTTTGATTCATTTGATACCAATTCGTCTCCTCATCCTTATGCATATTATCTCCGGGGACTAGGTAAGCCCTGGTTCTGATTCAGGGTTCTACTCAGACTGGTTATGCAAGGTTGCGTAAGTCTCTCACCTTTCTGGTCTTCCGTTGCCTCACCTGTAAAATGAGAAATTTGAAAAGAATTGCCTGTTACGGTCTCTTGCAGCTCTGATATTGCGGGATTAATAGCGACCGCCGTCTATGAGCGCTGACCCCATCCCAGGCTCCCTGCCACACATGTTATAAGCATTACCTCATCCCCTGCTCACACGGGTCCCATGGGCGTGGTAGGATTACCCTCGTCTGAGAGAGAGGAGACTGAGGCGCTAGACAGCTTCTCTGCGACTTGGGCTTGTCCTTGGACTCTCTGTGGGACCCTAAGCCCACGCACTCAGCGGCTGCTCCGTCCTGCAGCAGGACAGACATCAGACCCAAACCACCAAGGACCTCTCTCCCTGGAAAAGCAATCAGCTGGAATACGAGACCTAGGTCCAGAAAGCGAGCAGCTGCTTCCGCTGTGCTGTTTCCTACTGGGTGACGGATGGTGCTGTCGTCTCATCGGGGATGGAGGGTTGGGGACAGGCCCGCTAGGCAGCCTGTGGGCTTGTTCAAAGTCGGGCCTTCACAGCGGGTTCCTCTGTTTTCTCTCCCAACAAGTTGAAATCCCCCTAAATTAGTCGCATCCTTATCTCAATGTAATTCAAGTCTGTATGAGAAGACAGGCAGGATGTTGGGTTATGCTGACTCCGAGTCCTCACCGTTAATGCAATCAACAGGTGACACCCCTGAGCATGTGGACTGTGAAACGCACATCGTCTCAATCTCAGGTGTGCAATGAAGACCCATTGACCTTCAAATGTTCCCTAAGCCTCTTTCTAACCATTATTTGTTCTGTCCCCCTAAACCTCAGCAATGATCAGGGCTCTGCCCAGTGACCCTCAGCCAGAGAAGCAAGAGAAAAATGCAAGAAGAGGCCCCAAGAGTGCAACTGAGCATTGGCCAGTTGTATTTATCATCCTGGACCAAAATTGTTGGAAATCAAACTAGGAATTGGATAACAACAATAAAAGGAATTTGGAACATCCATACAATGACATTATGCAGCCATTAAGAATGCATGGGATCTCTAACAGAGCAAATCGTTGTCCAAATCAACAGAGCTTTGGAACTTGAAGCCAAATTGAGCAATCATCTTGCAGAGACAGAGACAGATCTGTTAAGGTCTTTAAAGGAGAGGTAGCCAATGCCACCACAAGCAGCCTGTAAAAAAAGTAGTGCAGGACACAGTAGAGGAAGGAATAGCTCAAGTGCAAATAAGAGAAATCTAAACCCAAATGCTCTGTTCTCCTTCGCACCATGTTGGCTAAGTCTCCCCACCAGAATTCGGGAGGAGCAGCCGATGGTTGTAATCAGAACTCCACTGACCAGCGTTTGTATTCCGTTATATTTATTTATGTATCAGATACTATATACATATATACCCATTTCCTCATCAGGATTCAAATTTTTCCTACAAAGTCCAGAACTAAAAAGGCCTTTGGGGGTAACTTTATGTACAGATTTCTGCATTGGATACTACCTGCTGGTAACCAAGATCTGTTACCTGGAGTGGGTATAACCAGGTGAGTAGCGCTGTATTAGCGCTACTCCAAACCTTAGGGACTTGAAGCAACAAGAGTCACTTATTGTCTCTCATGATTTCTTAGGCCAGAAATCTGGAAAGGCCCAGAGGGAGCACAGATTGGTCTCTGCCCTACCGTGTCTGGGGCCTCTGCTGCACATTTGCAGGGTGGGAGCTGGGGTCACCTGAAGGCTTGCTCACACGCGTGTCTGCCCATTGGCGCTGGCTGTCAGCTAAGGGCCCAACTGGGGCTGTTGGTTGGGATGCTCACATCTGGGCCTCTCCATGTGGCCTGGGTTTCTTCACAAGGTGGTGGCTGAGATCCAATGGCAAGCATCCCGAGACAGAGCCAGACAGAAGCTGTGCCCTTGCTCTGACGCATCCTGGAAGTTACACAGCATTGTTCCCAACACACGCCATGGGCCAGGCTGATCACAAGCCTCCACCAGCTTCAAAGGGAGGGAATGTCAGCCCACATGTCCATGGGACGAACATCTGTGCCGGAAGAAGAGCGCGCGGGCTGGGATACATCTATGGCCTTCCCTTGCAGAACTCTGCTTTAAAGCCAATTTCTGTAAGTATGTGCTCCACGGTACAATGACCTCATAAATGAGAGAGTCTTGGGCAGATCCTAACTGATGAACGTGAAAACATTTGGTTTCTGGTGACACGGTGAAGAGAGATGAGATTAGAAAGATACTTAAGAGTCAGAT